AGCGCGGGACCGAGCAGGGTCCATGCCATAAGTGGCCACATGCGAACCCTGCCCACACCCCCATGACTTCTAAGGGGCTTCACTCCGCTCGGGGCCTCCCGAACGAAATGAACCTCCGACCCCCCCTAGAAATCGGGGGGGGGGTTCACATGTGGCCACCGATCCCAGGCCCTGGAGCTGGGTCCCTGCCATACGCGCCCTGAGATCCTTCAGCTCAGCGAGCTGGCCCTTGAGCGTCTCCATGGCGACTAGAGAAGCGAGGATTATATGCGGGATTGAAAGACCTGGCATGCCGAAATCCGTCAGTTCAGTAATCCTCGCCTCCCCAATCGCCATGGAGACTCTCAGGGGCCAGATCGCTGAGCTGCAGGATCAGGCCCCGGAGCCAGCCCGTGCGAGCTGCCGCCGTCGGCCGCCAGGAGGCGGTGGGCTCCGGAACCGCCCCGAGGAGCTATGCCCCGCCGCCGCGGGATGCGGCCTGCCGGGAGGAAGGGCGGAGGGCGAGGCCGCGCGCCTCGGTGTGCCTCGGCTCTCGCTCTCTCTCTGCGCGCTCTCGGTGCCTCGGCGCCGCGTCGGAGCGAGAGGAGGAGGAGGAGGAGGAGGAGGAGGAGGAGGAGGAGGAGGAGGAGGAGGAGGAGGAGGAGGAGGAGGAGGAGGAGGAGGAGGAGGAGGAGGGAGGAGGGAGGAGGGAGGAGGGAGGAGGGAGGAGGGAGGAGGAGGAGGATTTCCAGGATTTCCGCCATCACGTAGTGATAACACAGGCTGAGCTCAGCACTTGGGAAACAGGTCGCGATCGACTATGTGGAAATATTCGCGCCTGGCCTGGGTGATTAAGTGGGATTGACAAGGATTACCTAAGCCCCTGAGCTGGGCCTGACCGAAAATCCGCAGGACCCACAAAACCATACTCAAAAATCTTGGTGAAATCGAAGGGCGCGTGAAGGATGCGTCCAGCCACCAGCCAAGTGCAAACTCCGTCCTTTGGGGGCTCGGGAAAGCTTACTATTCACAGGTAGCGGGGGCAAGCACTCACATTTGAACCACTTGGACTCCATATCTTTAGATGTCGAGCTGAAGCACACCGAACACGCTCTGCCATTGTCGGTCAGGGCGTGGGCAGTCGCAAAGCGTGCAAGAGCCTCGGGAGGGATAGGCCGAGGGGCGGGAGGACCCACAGGAGCACCCGGAGGCCCGTCAGACTCCTGGGACCCTTGGGAAGCAACAGTAGATTCAAGCCCTACTCTGAGAAGACGCCTCCTAACCAACCGCGGCGTGCGCTCAATTCGGTGCACTTCATACCTGTCGATGTCTGGAACTCTGGCCCTATCAGCCGCAGCTCCTGCTAAAACGTCGACGCACGCATTACCTTGAATGAGCCAGCTGCCCCACCCCTGCTCGACAACAGCTTGTGCCGTGAGGTGGGACGGAGTTTGAACAAGTGAGACATCACTGATACTGCGGCATTCATCTTCGAGAGTGGCCCCGATCCTACGCCATACATCCGCCTGAGGGCCAAAGGGTCTCTCGGGGGCTCCCGCATACCACACCCTGGCAACCTCAGCACAATCAGTAATGTACATCACAGATCCCGACGAGAATCGAATGCACCGTTCAAAAGCCTGGAGCCCCCCCCCCCAGGGACCGACTGGGTCGGCCCCACGAGAGTCCCCAAGAGATGGCCCCGAGGACACAGGGCGAAAAGCTTTGGAAAACAGCCACTGCACTGTCTGCGCGACGGAGCCTGCAGTCGCGGGCATCCTTACCCCCCGAGGCGTCCCCGGAAACCAAGAGAGGGGAGCTGACACCCCCCTGGCCCAGGCACCCAGGGCCAAGACGGCCATGGACCAGGTTCCCTCCGAGGAAACTCTCCTCCGATGCTGGGGCTGTGACTCTTGTCCAGGCACTGGGGATGACGCCTCGCATCCAGACGCATGGAAAAGTTTCGTGTTCAGCCACTGCTTCGCACACCAGTTCGTCTGACTGCATGTGCGCTGGCGAGCCTCTGTTTCTCTCGCGCATCCAGTTGCGGTGAAGAGGTGTGTCTGGCCCCTCTCCGCACCGTACACAGACGTCCGACTGCGCCAGATTGGCATCAAGTTTCCTCTGCTGCGTCCAGTACCCGCCCGTGGCGATCGTGAACATGGGCTCCGATAGCTGACGACCTCGCTTCGCATGCAACAGCGAGGCAATGAACGACCTGTAGCTCCGCCAATATGCTCCCTGCTCTGGCCCCCCGCCACAGAAAAGGTCCGACGCCTCCTGCCACAGCTGCAAGTACAGGGCGTCCTCGAAACCTTTTGAGAAGGGGCTGCGCCAGGTCAAAGCCAACATCAGCATCCGTCGAGAACTTCCACGCGTGCTCCACGTTGCCCCCGTCACTCGGCACCTGCCACCCCGTCGCTGACTCCGAACGCCACCCAGCTTATACCAAATACAGCACCACAGAGGACAATGAACCTCTCACGTGACGGCTGCGCTGATCGCTGGAACGTCTTGGAGGGCTGCAACCGTCCTGTCCCACGCCAATCTCACTGAAGATCGGAGCCGTGGTTCCCGCAGCCAGGAATCCAGCCACTGGCTGCGACGCACGCGGGGTAGGGCAACTCCTGGGTCGGCCCCTGGGAGGCGCAGTGCTAGACGTGATAACAAGCACCTGCCCCGCTTGGCCGGGCCAGCCGCGGCGCCCAGTCCTCGTCTGTGACTGAGCATCACGGAACCGAAACAGCCCAAGATTTGATGACCATAGGATGCAGAAGCTAGTGGACCCACCCTTTGGATCTTACTCGTGGGCGTCCACCTACTTGCTGCAGCCGTGAGCCTACGAAGACGCTGATGAGCAGCAACTGACTTCTTCACTCGTTTGCGCGCTGCGTCGCGACCATGCCGTCGTCCCCCAGCCAAGTCGACGCCTAAGTAGGCTGACTCGAGCACGGGTTTGACCTCGATGCCTCGCCGCCGGAGCTGTGGCGAGATGTAGACTGCATCCTGGTGGTACGAGCACACGACCACACTCTTGGCCGCGATGCCAAGGCGAAGCTTGCGAAACTCTTTCACCGTCGTGGACACAGCCCGGACTAGAGCATCGCGGACGCGGCCGCGACTGCCAGATACTCCCCCTGGCAAGTCGTCGACCCAAATCCTCCCCGACATCGCGGGGCGTGCTATGGCTAGCTTCTCGCACGCGACCGCTGCGACACACTTCGCGAACCTGGCCCCACTTCTCGGTCCTTGAATCACGGACTTGGCTGCCTGGAATGACAAAGAACACGAGTCCAATTGAGAGAGCATCCTCGGCGCCGTGAAGAGCTGGACCTCCAGGAACAGCACCGCGGGCGGGTAGCCCTTTCTGATCGCACACCCCGCCAGGATGGGCCACTCGACACCGTCGTAGAAGGCCTCGACGTCGAGCAGCGCCTGCCCGCGGGGCAGCCGCAGGGAGGTCTGAACCTCGTCCTCCAGCGCCCTGACGAAGGCCCCCCTCAGCGCGCTGTTCCCTGAGATGGCAGCGCCCCAGCAGTCGCCCTGCTGGTCGGCCCACTCGAGTACGATGGTCTCGCGCGCAAGGGGCCACACACTGCGCAGCATGCCGGGCAGGCCGATACATCTGTCGCCGCTCGACTTCTTCCCGAGCAGCCGCCCGAGCACACATAATAGTTGCCAATGCAAGCTTCGGCCTTGCTAGATCATGGCGAACAGCTCGCTGAGATCTTAGATCGCTTGGTCTGGAAGCCGAGCGAAGTCGAGCGGCGATAACTTGTCCACACCTTGCCCCGCGCGGGGCTTCATTTTACTCAGCGCAATCCGGATCTCCTCGGCAGACAGAAGCTTCATCTGCTCCACGAGAGCGCGCCCGCGAATAAGATCACACGCCTTCATGATTTCGTCGCAACCAGAGCCCTCCGAAGTCCGAAGACAATGCCACTTACCGATCTTAGCACCGACGATCTCCATCGGGCGAACCAACTCCTGACCGTTGACATGATATTCATCATGTTCTGGAGCTTGGTCCTTAATGGACCTGAATATGGCCCCCCGACTGTCGATCGATCCTGTCCAACCTTGCAATTCCCGAAGCGATGCCGTCGCCGCCCTGCTCTGAGCCCGGCGTGCTGACCTGAACGCTGCCTCCTCCATCTGACTGAGCTCGTCAACGCTGAGCTCCTGAAGACGCTTGAGGCCCGACAGAAATAAGGACCATGTGGCTCCAGCCGTGGCCACAAAGTTGCT